GGGGGGGGAAATATAGAAGTGTCGTAACTGGCCCGTCTTCCCTGGGCTTGTGAGAAATGGCAGGTGAGGTTCTTGAGAGCAGGGACACTTTCCTTCCAGCCTTTTTGATGTTGCACAAAAATGCTTTTGACATCAGTTGAGATCATTTCTCCTTTTTCTCAGCATGTATGAAGTTTGTGGTGGAAGTTACTGAAACAAACTGTAGCTGTAGCTAGGTAGACTTAAAAGAGCTGTGATTTCCTTTGTAAGTGACTTGCATTTGCAATGTGCAGATCATTATTTTAAAATAAGTAGATGCAGTAGTAACCTTAGGGCACTTCTTTCTTACTATAATTTGTATTTCTCCCATGCTTAGCAACAGTACACTGTTGAACTACAGCCTGCAGTGGGTCTGGGGCCTCAAAAACCACCATTCTTGGTTTTTATGGTGCTGCTTCTCCTATGATTTAAAAGCTTGCAAGAGGAAGTGTTTAATCCCTGATACTAGAAAGTCATTGAGATGTACTAAGGAGTGCTCTGAAGACAAGCTGTACAATGAAGCGAAAAAATGAATAGACTCCCTAGGCAAAGGTAACTAGCAGCTCAATCAGCTTTTCCCAACTTGTTGCCCTTTCAGTTAGTTAGGATAACAACACCCAGAGTTATGAGTATGGACCCTTTGAATTCTGAGAAGTGTAGTTTCAGTACATCGAATGCAGTCAGGCTGAAGTAGGCTGATCCAAGCCCAAATTAGGTGAGTTGTTGGTGACAAAACTGGGGCTTTAAGCACTTTGGGACTAAAGGGCTACTAATCTCCAGAAAGGACTTAATATCCACCATCCCTATCCATAACCTAGAAGCTTTTCTTTCACAAATTACTGTACCGTTCAACTTGTATACCTACAGTTTGAAACTGCATCAACAGGTAACCAGTGGGGAATATCAAATGCATGGTTGAATTCTTTGGGTTTTGCTTCTGCTTTTGAGCAGTGGCTCCTTCTCAGTTCCCAAGCTATGTTCCAAGCTGCATTCATTCACTTAGGAAGGTTGTGTGGCCATTGTGACAGCAAAAGAAACACAATAATTTTAATTTACAAGATCCATCCATTCTCCCTCTTCCATCCCACTTCCTGTGGATTGATCTATATGGGTAATAAACTGTCATGGCAAGGTAATACACATTACTTTCCAGTTTCTGGTGGCTGAATATTACCAGCTGTTCACATTCAGATTGACAGCATCTCTGCAAGTGTGGAGGTGGACAGATCTATAGACTGGTCATTGTTCTCTGACTTCCAGTGGTAGCCAATGAGTTCTGTTAGTGAGTGAAATGTTGAGCCTGAAAGAGAATCATACCTAGAATTCTCCTTTTGGCTTCTGGACCAATATGGGCGCATCTAACAGTCAAAATGAATTTGATAAATCCAGTATGACAACTTCCTTCTTGGGAGTAAAACTGGTTTCCTGTCACCAGTGGATGGATCAGGGTAGCTCAGTACCGTGAAGAATTACTAGCATATCTGGCTTAGTAGAAGGATAAGTTATGACCTGGAAGTAAGGAGGAAAGCAAAAGGTTGAAAGGGTGTCTGGTTAATGCATTCATTGGCAATAGACTGAAAAATGTTACTTTCATCTGGGAGAAGTTCTCATTGTTGGCTTTGCTTCTGATCCCCTCTGCCATCAAGTTGCTGCTAGGTTTCTTTGATTTTTGTTGACAGCTACTCTAAGTTGTCAGGCTAGAACAGTGAGCAATTGAAGAGTGCAGGCATCAGGGTCTAACTAAAGGCTGTTTTGCAGATACTATAGGTCTTGCCACTGTATCCTGGCAAATCCAGTGGGCCCAGGCTGGCGCTACTAGATCAAATGCCCTGGGAGTGAATTTCTGCTTGGGTAGAGGTACCATGAGGGTCACCAAGGATTTACCAGTCCATGTGAGAGACAGAGTGTGCTTCACAAAGTGAAGGAAGGGATGTAGTAGAGAGTGTGGGTTGAATAAGAGTAGTAAGCCAGACAGGTTTTGGGGTCCACCCATCTTTTAATGTTGGGGACTTTCATCTCTATTCCTTGGGGAAGATTTGGGAGTTCAATCCTCTATAGCAACTATGGGCTTCTCTCTGATTATCTCTGGCCCACATACAGAGTCAGACATATATTCAATCTTACCTTTGCCTCAGAGCAGTTGGTTTGTGACTTGAATATGAAGGACATTTGGGTGGTCCTTTGCAGTGGTCACACTCTTCCAAGTAAGTTTTGAACCTTTGCAAAGTGGAGGGACCTATAACCTATAATCAGGAAGACTGATTCATCAAGTACCTGGTAGACTCCTGGAAACAGGAAGGAACCCAGGCACTTGGTATGATTTCCCCCTGTCGTCATGATCCTGGGGAGCTGCTTACCTGTAGGAGACAAGCAAGTGAAGTGATGTCTGGAATGCTAGTGAAGAATGATAAAAAGTGAAACTCACTGAGCATGGATACAAGCTCATGTGTGAGCCTACATTGTGGCAATAAGAGTGGGAAAATGTCAGTTGCTCTCCAGTAGCCTTGTTTACAGTTGCTTGAACCTTGCTGGGAAGGATCACCTTGCTGTTGTGATGTGTTTGCACAATATTTTGCTGATAAAGTCTCTCAGAGTTGCCAAAGCCTTGACTCTTCATGGGCAGAATCTGGTGACTGAGGTGACATCTTGAGACATTTCCTGGGATTCCCTTTAGTCTGTATTATGATGAGGTGGACAGGGTGATCCTTGACATAAGCTCTTCCACCTGTGGTTTAGACTTACACCCCTCATGGCTCCTTTTGGGATGAGCGAATGGGACATGCTGGGCTCAAGAGATAGTCAATATCTCTTTGGGGGAAGGACTGATGCCAATTACCTTGAAAAAGATAGTGGTATATCCTACCTTAAGAATCCTTCCCTGGTCCAGTCATTTTGGACAACTATTACTTTGTCTCCAACCTTCCCTTTTTGGAGAAGATGGTTGAGAAGGTGGTGGGGCATCACTTACAGATCACCCTAAATGAAATGGATTATTAGGACCCCTTTCAGCCCAGATTCAGGCCTGGGCACAGGAGGAAAATAGCATGGACTCTAGTGGATATCTGTCTTGAAATCTTGATGAGAGAATGCATCCAACTTGGTCCTGTTAGACCACTTGGTAGCTTTTCATACCATTGACTATGGTATCTTTACAGTGTATCTGCAAGTGCTACAAGTCAGGAACACTGTTTTTGAATGGTTCCATTTCTTTCTGGTATGGTAGTAAGCAGCCATCAGGCTTGCAGATGCTTACCTGTGGTGTGCCCCAGGGTTTGATTCTCTTCCCCCTGCCCTGCTTTTTAATATTTATATGAAACCCCTGGGACAGTCAGTCAGGGGTCAAGTATCATCAGTACTCTGATGTTATAGCTCTGCATCTCCATTGGATGCTGTGAAAGCCTTGACTTGGTATCTGAAGGCTGGATGGAGCAAAGGAGGCTGAAGTTTACCTCTAGCAAGACAGAGGTGTTGTTGTTCAAAGGAGATTATTTGCAACCTCTGATTGTAACTGTAGATGGAATGGCACTCTTCCTGAAGGAGCAGGTCCATGACTTGGGATTCCTCTTGGACTTATAGCTATGCTATATGGGTAGATAGAGGCTCTGGTTAAGGGGCCATCATCCAGCTTTGGCTGATGAACCAGTTGCAGTTGAGGCTTTGGTAACTGTAGCTCATGCCCTTATCACCATATAATTTGGCTACTGTAATGTGCTCTATATGGGCTGCCTTTGAAGACCAGCAGAAATTGCAGTTGGTTCCAAATTCAGCTGCTCACTTCCTGGTGAATGAGACTCTCCAGAGCCATGTGACTCCTGTGCTGTTGGCCCTCCATTGGCTGCCAGTAGGATGCCTACACAGTTTGGGTATTCCTAGGTACCTTCACAACTGACAAGTGGAATCAACCCACCCAAGGAGTGTGCTTCCATAAAATTATTAAGGGTGCCCCATTTGGGGGAGATGGGGGTGGGGTAGTAAACAGTGTTTCTCAGTAGTGCCCCATGTTTTAAGGAACCCAGTCAGTGCTCATCCTTTCTGGAAGCTGATGAAAACTGAACACTTCCAGTGTGTTGAAGGATGATGGGTTGATGCCACTGGATATTATAGAGTATTGCTGTTCTTATGAGTTTAATATTTATATTTGTAATGTTCTTGTTGATGTTAACCATTGGGGGCTCCTGGCAGTTGTGTCAGAATACAAAAGAAAACAAGTAAGTTGCTTGCTGCAGTCAATTTAGAAAGCTACTTGCTAGATAAAGTTATATTACTTGAAAATACAGGACGACCAATAAAGTTCTGGAATAGGGCTATGGTCTAGAAAAGTAATTGGGCTAAGGATTTTATGAAGGGAAAAGACACATCCTGTCTGTTCTGTTTCCTATTCAGGAGATGACACATGTGCTATGATTTTGCCAGAAATGTATTGCTTCAGTCTTCCGATGTTTTAAATAATAAATGGACCTGTCTAATTCGCTAAAGATTTAGGTCCGTCTTTAAAGTATTATTTGTTTTTATATATAATCAATAGTAATGGTTAAGAACCTATTTGTATCCATTCTGAGCTGAAAACATTCTACTAATTATCTAACGTTGGCCAACTTCAGTACTTATAGACTGTAACTCTTCCTGGGCATTTCATTCCAGACAGACCTGATTTCCACCATAGGTGAGAGTGCTGCTTTGGGGGCAGCTGGTGCTATCTTCTGGGGAGATGCTGAAAACACTGGAAATAAGGTGTGTATTATTTTCCCTCCCTCTCCCACATTCCTGCTGTGAATGACCTCATGCTAAAACAAGCCTAACACGCAGTAGTTTTCCCATAGATCTCTTGAACAAACATTTGATCTCTTTTCTGTTAGGAGCATGTCAGGTCCTGTTTGCTTTATCAGGAGGCTACCCTAGCAGTGCCTCTCTAACTTGTTCTCAGTCTAGTTATTGTGTGCAAAGCTGCTTGGACAGGTTGTAACTGAGCTCACTAAGAGATGGGTTTTGCAAATTTCTGGAAGGATATAGGAAATCAGTAAAGATGAGTAAGCGAATCATAATTGGTATTTTGAGTTACAGTAGTCATCTCTAAAGCTAAGATCTGGATTCAGTCAGTGCCTGAACTGGAAACTAATTGGTAGCTATTTTTCTTTTTTAAAATATGAAACTTTATTATGAACATAGAGTTAATTTACATTCTTCAAGCTGTTAGTAAAGAATAAGGATACAAAAAGAGATACTGAAACAAAGTAAAAAAGTAAAACAAAAAACATCGTAAGGAGGAACTTTCAATTGCTCATTTTTCCCTTCCCTTTCATTGTCCCTAACCACTAATCACTACTTAAGTATTTGTACTTTACTTGGAATATTGGAGATTGTTGCTTATATTTATCTGAATCATTTCACCTAATATTTTTAATTGATCTCTCCTTAAAATCCATATTGTAAATACCTAAACCTGCCTTGCTGTGTGATACACAGTATGTAAGGGAGCCATTCCTGCCTGAATTGTTAATTAGTTTTGTCGTCACTGTGTATTCTCCAATATTGGTCTCCCCTTCTTATATTGTCGACAGGGTTTTACTTTTCCAGTGTTGTGGATCTCCTTTGATCCTTCCCATTTTCATTGGATGTATGAACATTTTGATGGCATCTGTCAAACAAATCATTTATCAGTTGGACCTGTTTCCTGCATTCTCATGTCTGTTACTCATCTGAACTTTCTTCTTCTGTAGGAAACTTGCCAAATGATTAAAAAATACATAGAAGAACCTCTTGGCCGTTACATCATCAATGTGACAACCGCAGCTGAGCTCTGCAGCCAGACTCTTTGCAGGGGCCATGGCCGCTGCCGGCGCCAAGAAAGTGATGCCAAAGTCTTTCTGCATCTCAACCCAGACAGCTTCCAGATCTACCGGAATGAGTCCAGGCATCCAAAGCCACTTCTGGGGGCCAAAGGGAAGCTCTCTCAGGCGGACATTTTCTTCCTACAAACCCACTTCCAATGCCATTGTTACCAGGGGTGGCGTGGGAGACAGTGCGAGAAGCAGCTGAACCCACCCGGGGGCGGCCCCTCCCTTTCCTACACACTTGGACTCCAGTTGCTGGTGACTGTCTTCCTTCTGGTCTGTTTGCACTAGGCCACCTCTCCAGTGGAATCTGGGGGTGCAAGGGAATTCTTGGTGCCTGGAACAGTGGGAGAGGCAGTGCAATAGGCAAGGGAGAAGAAGGGGCCTCTCCCTCTTATATCTCTATTTAGCAGTAATGTAGCAGACATCCTCTTTAAGAGACTGCTCTACCTCTCCCATCTGCGCCACCGGCCCTTCATGAGGCAAAAGAGAAAGGACCTTTCTAACCACTGAGAGTGCCTCTGTTCAGAGAGCTGGACAGCTGGAAGAAAGGGTAGTTTTAGAGACTGGCAAAGGCAGGACGCTCCATGGGGCATGACCTCCCCTCTGGCTTTTGCCTTGGTCTGCCTGGTGGCTTCTTCACCCTGGGAACCCACAGGATGCCTTAGGTCAGCCACCCACAAGAGGGGGTCAGACAAGGGACCTGGGGCCGGGGCTACAGGGTCTGAATGCCTGCATCCAGTCCTTCATCGATACTCTGATTGAGGACTGGGAAGGGGGTGCTTGGCTCTTCTGTTTTAGGGAGGGATGGGGCACAGCCACAAGCAATGGGACCTTGAAGCACAGGCGTGGGAGGTTTCATGGAGCTGCTGTAATAAGGAAAATTGCTGCTGTTACCTGTCTCTTTAGGTAGGTGGTAGAGAAGGAGGTGAATCCGGGGGATTACGTGGGAGGGTAGCTGGGAAATCACTCTTTGCTGACTGGTGGGGTGGGCAATGCATTTTTTTAATGGCCAGATAAGGCCATTCATGGGAAAAACATGCCTGGTCCACCTGTGGCCACTGCCAACTTGGAAGCCTGCATCTTTTACAAGAAAACCAAAAAGTTTTACCTCAGAATTAAAGAGACACAGAGAAAATCATGTGTGTTTTGTACTGTGTGAAGAAATCTTGCCACTTGCCCTGGCACTCTTCCTCCCTTTTACTCTCTGCCAAGAATAAGACTCCAGCTGGAAGCAGCCTCCCGTTTGCAATCATGGTTTTGGCCTGTTTTCTGCACGACTTCCCCAGGGCAAGACTTCTTGTCTTTGTCACAGAACATGGTCCCTCGATGGTGCTGATTTCAAGATAGGGAGAACACCAACCGGCCCGGGCTTCAGACAGAAGGCCCTTGTCTCTGCTGTGACCAGAGGGACGAAGATCAAGTATGACCTCTGCCTCTCTCTTGGTCAGGGAGTGAGAAGGGGGCCTCACCTGCCTCCTTCTGGAGCAGCACTGAGCTAGCGATCCCCTTGCCCAGTTGTTCCTGCTCCTTGTCATGGAGTCAGTTTACTACCCTCTTTAGCAAGGCTAGGCTGCTCTCATGGGCCTGTGCGTCTCATGCAGGAAAAACAGGAGAGGGAACTTTCCTTTCTTTCAACCTCAAGCCCAACATACTTCTTCCTGGTGAAGAACAGCTGGCATTTTGCTGTTATTATCTTTTAGGTAGGCCCCAAAGTTTAGCAGAACGGGCCCGGCCATTTGGCAAAATACAGACACTCCCTCAACATCCCATAAGGAGGAACAAACCAAGACCTAGTGGGGGATTTTTTCAGAATAAAGAATACGTGGAGACACTACATAACTTGCCTTCTGCTCGAAGGTAGCCTGCTATTCTCCAAGGCAGCACTGAAGTCCTAAACTATCCCAAAAGTAAAATACGTATTTGTGCAGGTCTCCTTCCATTTCTTGTTACTCTTTAAATAATTCAATTATACAAAGTAAAAAAATGCAGATTCATATAACATTCAGCAATCAACCACAAAAATAATAAGCACAGTAATAAAAATTGTCCGTTTTTAAACGTTTGTAGAAGTGTGTTGTAATCTAATGTGGGTCAGGATCACTTCATGCAGAAGGGGATAAAGCAGTCTGATTTTCCCCCTTTGCCTCTTTATTTATGACAGGCACCTCTCCCTTGAGGACAGGGGGAGGCAAAAAAATCTGACAATGGAGACTTAAACATTGTCATGGGGTAATAAGTGTGTGAGTTTTTCTAGATAAAAGGGGCTAAAGTAGAAAAGTTTAGGTTTCCTTATCCTGATAGGAATCGTGCTGATCTAGATCAGGCTTTTATATACCTACTCTACCAAAAATAAAAAGTAGGGCAACTGTGTATTTGACATACTGTGCGGTTTGGCCATGAGATAAATGCCAGACCACTTGGCTTCTATTCATGGAATAAAGAAAATGAAAACGCCTTCAAATTGGGGTTGACTCCTCTTGATGTCCATTTACTTTGTTTGGCAACAACACAGAATTACTTTGCCATTGTCTTCTCCCAGGGCATATTTTCAGCCTCCCAACTTAGTTTACAGACCTGGGATTTCCTGGTGGTTTTCCATCCATATACTAACAAGGTCCAATCCTGCTTACTTTGTCTAAGATCAGCCAAGATTGGCTAGGTGCTGCTATCTCAGCTGGACCACAGATGGGATGGGGTGGGGGTGAGGACATTTTCTACTTTGCTTCTGGCAGAAAACATCTTGATCTAATAATGGTTCTAAGAGCACATCTCTTGATCTTTGGCTGCATGTTTCTTGGTCGATTCTGCATTATTCATTTCTTGCAGTGATAAATAGAGGTATATAAAATATTCCAAGCTTGAAACACTTAAAGCTACAAGTGGCCATTTTATTCAACTCTCTTTCCATATTTCACTATAGGTAATAAGGAGAATTCAGAATAAAAAGCTTGCTTAACATTTGTTTCTATTGTTTGCAATGGGACTTTTACAAATTAAAATAATCCCCTTGGCCAACCTTTCTGTAGGTTGGGTGGCATGTAACAGTCAACATGGACTACTTCCACATCTATTCTGATAACTTTAAGATAAACAATAGTAACTAAGGAGCAAGGACATATTTTAAGTTCTTTATGGTAGAACACTTGAAATATTTTGAATTCTTTTTTGTGTGTGGGAACAAACCCATTGAAAATGTTCCAATGGAACATTCTGAATAGGGCTTGGAAAAAACTTTTTTTATATTTGTGCACACTTTACTGGTAAAGCACATCACGGTATTATAAAAAGGCTTCTTGGAGCATGCTCAAGGAAATTCTGATGCTTCACGGACTTCAGTCTTAATGAGAGTGGAAGGAGAACCAGAGTGGAAGGAGAAGTGCTAGAAACCTAAAATGATTAACATGATGAATAAAAAGGCAGCGATACAAAAAGTTAACAACTTATTTCCTTTTTTTCTGTGCCACTGATTTTGCAGGACGTAAGAAATAAGAACTGAGCCAATGCTTAGTTTACCACTTCTGCTATTGTCAAATTCTTGGCAGCAGGTAACTGTTTGTGTTCTTTATCAGAACCATTTCTAGTCTTCCAACTGGAGTTAATCAAACTGGGAAATGCTACAACCAGAACCTGAAGTCTTGTATACACATGGCCATTCGTTTCATGAAGTCAGACGGCATGCAGTTCTGTACAAAGGACAAACAAAATTATTGTTGTTTTGCAGGGTGGGGAGGCGCCATTCCACTGCTTTTACACTGAGAGTGGGCTGCTTTAAACCGATTATTTCTACTTCCCCAGAATGAATCTATCCAGTAGATAACCCTGGAAGTACATCTGCTAGATATCGCTGTGATGTGACAGTGATCAAGGTGGGTAGGCTACCAAGTTCTTGCTTTAAGTCACTGTTACTCAGGGACTTTCCACATTTCTCAGTTGTTCTCCTAATCGCACTAGGGAAAGGCACTCAGTGCTCCCAAATGAAACTCTCACTTAAGACTATTGAATTATAAATGATGTCACATGTCCACAAAAGCAAAATCTCTCAACATCCTTAGGAGCAGAGAACATTGCTCAAATCCAGCGATGTTTGTATCTGTATCACTCCTTCTCACCCCCTCAAAAAATAATCCTAAAAGGTGGATCCCACCCTTATTATGCCCCCTGCTGCAAGGTCTGCTGCACAAAAGTTTTCCATCCCTAGTTTAAAGAAATGCAGCTGCCCCTAGAGAGAATGTAGATGCTACTGCACAGGGTAGTTGGCTGGATAATTAAGGAAACAGTGGGAAGAACATAAGGAGACTCAGCCAGAAGAACAAGAGGAATGTTCATGGGGCTGTTCTGTTGGAATTCCTCTGCTGATGAAGTTCAGATATGACTGTGTTGGCTGATCCTGAATCAAGGGAGGGGAAAAATGCCCTTTTTTGCTTCTCTACTTTTGCCTTTTGAGATGCAAACCCTACTGACACCTGGAGCCTCCTCAAACATGCCATGATTTCACTATTTTTCTCACAATTCCAGCGTTTGTTAAAAGCCCAAATAAAATTTGAGTAAATGGACCAATCAGCAAGCAGCTGTAAGGTTAGGAAGGAGGAAAAGCCTCCTAGAAGTAGCTGCACGCAAGGACTCTGTGTTCAATTAAACCAGTGGATGAAATTCAGCTACTGTAGTGACTTGCTACCATCCACTCATCTCAGCTTCCCAGTTCTGGAAGCAGATCCACTCTCCTTAATGCTCCATAAGGGCATTCATTGCCTATTGACTTCTTTAAACAGTGTTGATACCCTCTCCTCTCTTCAAAAAAATCTATTGCAGCTGGAAATTGTTGACCTTGGGAAGGGGAATAGCCTGCTGTTTCTCTCCATCTAGTCAAAGAGCACCCCCTGGTGCCACAAAAGAGCCAACAACTCAAACTCCATTATCTCCCTAGGACAGCAGTGATTGTAGGTGTGTTTAAATGTGTTTAAAACATCTGTGAGCCTCAGCCAGAGCTCCTGATTTCCCCAGGACATGCTCTGCAATACCGCTGATCAGATGGCTGGCAGGCTACAGTAGGGCACGAAGCCATCAGTTTTCTCCTGAATGGATTCCCCCCCCCCCCAAGATTAGGCCTGGGTGATTTCCCTGAGAAATGTTTATAGGTTCACATGGCTTTTTCACCGTTGTACATGTATTCAAGACCCTAAATCAGAAAATGTTTTCCATACTTCATACTTTCACTGCATCTCATCATATAGATTGTATGGTTCCCTTCTGAGATCTGGAATATGCTGTGTACCCTCAGATTCCATATCTATTTTGTCACTTAGTTCAACAGTCTGCCTTGGTTTAAGACCATTCTAAGTTCAAGAAGAAAATCACTTCAAAAAAAGTACGTTTTAAGGAAAATTCTTGCAAGCCAAAGGATTTGCAGTGTGAGTTACTTAAACACCTTTATTGCATTTCTTAGTCTGGATTCTTGAAATTAAGCATAAATACTCATTTAGTATTCAATCACTAACATGAGTTATAATCACAGATGTGTATTGGAAGATCAGGCCCTGTCACTCTTTATCTTTTAAATATCTTAAAAATACAGGTCCTCTTGAATAAGGACAGAAAATGAGTAAAGAATGTTAACTATAGCCTAAAATGTATTCACAAATTTTCCAGATCAGCATTCTAGAGCTAGAACATGGATGCTCAGTTTCAAAGAACACCAAATAAATGTATCTTGTGCAAACCCATGATATATTGTTCTATGCTTAAAATATGAATTTGGTTTCTAAGACTATTATTACTGGTGTCATAATTGTAAAAAATTGTATCTTCTGCAGCTGTAGAGCTGTCTATTGATGGGATAATTCAGACTTCGTGTTAACAAATCATGATTTCTGAATATCTCACAACTGATAGGACCCATACAACACACAAGCCAAAACTAAATAAACCACATTTTGGCTCAGCATGTGTGAACCAGTTCCATGTACTATAGCTTTCTCCAAGACTCGTCCCTCCAGCATGGACTTAGGACATTGAAATTCAATGTGTCTGGAGTACATTACAGAAGATCGCCTGAGGCGGTCTTACTTACTTCATACCAATCTTGCACAGGGAGTGTTGAGAAATCATTGCACAGTAGTAGAACATAGAGAAAAGTTTTGGGTTTTTTAAATCCCTGTTACCTCCAGTTAAAAGGGCCTCCAATAGGGCTCAGAAAGTCTGAGAGAGAGAGAGACAGCGTAGCCATCAATTAGAGCAGAAGGCACAGAATCAGATAGGACTATTGACCTAAACCAAAATATAAGGTAGTAAGGTGAAATGGCTAGCATGGTCTGACTAGGGCTTTGAGGGAACCAGGTTTCAATTCTTGCTCAGCCATAAAGCTTGATAGGTTACTTGATAGGGTCAGCAACAGATAAAATGGGGAGATGTAAACTTGTTAGCACCTTGAACTGCTGGGAAGAAACCTATGAAATAAGTGAAATATGGCAGTTCACATAGGCAGATAAGAGTAAAGCCCTAATTGTGACAATAATATCAAGAGGAACTATGTTCTGTACATTTTTAAACATTATCTTTGTATTATTTTGCTCTCTTTGGTGCAGTGACATGTTTAAGCTACACACCTACTCTGGTTCTAATCTGACTGAGAATGGAGAAAGGAACATCCCATCCAGCAGCATCTATAATATCATCTATTACTGGAAAATGCTAAATTGATGTAATCACTATGGTGTTTTATTAACCCCTGCCAATAAGATGTATCATACAATTTTTACACTGTTGGTGGATAAAGAGTTATTGCACTAGCACTGCAGGATACTTTTTAAAAATCTTAAATGTTGCCTCTGGGCAATCCAGCTTTCAAAAAAACCTTTATGACATTTAAATATACAAAGGGAGAGAGAGAGAGAGAGAGAGAGAGAGAGAGAGAGAGAGAGAGAGAGAGAGAGAGAGAGAGA